TTGAAAGACCAACTTCAACTTTAATTGTTGAACCAAAATCTGATCAACATTAAACCAAAAAATGTTTCGGTTCATTTTAAAGATGATTTTATCCTCATTAAGGCATGTTGTGTGAGTTCCTATCCAAGAAAAAGATTGTTGAAAGAAGAAAAACTTTTCTATTTTTTCTCTTCAAATGTAAACTCGATGAAAGAAAAGTCCAAGTTAAAGGACAGTTTCTTGAGAAACTAAACACGCGTCCTTCATCATCATCATTATCAGTTAAGAGAGCAATAACACTGAAAAACCATCTGAGCTTCTTCAACCTCTTTGCCTAAAGGTGAAACCTTCACTTTCGCTGCCTTTTTGACCATGAAAATGGTGACCAATTAATGATCTTTGTATCTTTTCATCTTCAATGTTTACGAGGCAAAGCTCTCTATCATCATCAAGCTGGCTCGTTCAACTGTTCAAGTTGACACACAAACAAACATTTAGCTTGTGATCAAGACAAATTGGTAGAAAAGTTTTACTCCAAAAATTGATAAACAATTGCAACCTTTACATTTGGACTTTAAGTTTCACCAAAACGTCAACAATTGAAATTGTTGAAACTCTTCTATCGTGCATTTGATGAGAAAGTAGTAAATCAATTTGTCTTGTAAACCATTGAACAAAAGTTCTGGCAACAATAAGGGTTTCTGTCAAATTACATAAGCCATCTGAGTTTGGCTTATCTTCATTAATGCAGCTTTTAGAGTTAAAGTAAACTCATAACTAGAAATGAGATTCATTAAGAGATCAAACAGTCAACTGCTTATTTAATCAATGAATGAAACAAACTTGTTATCGTAAAGATGATAAACAATGAAAATTGTCTTAACAAAACTTTACTTACAATGGTTATTGTAATTTGAATCATGTTAAATTGAACCTTCTTTTACATTTCAAATATCAATATCAAGTTACTCTGAAAATGTTGATTCAGTCCAAGTACATCTAATAATGATAATGTAAAAACTGGAACCTTCATAATTTGACAGTTTTGCAAAGTGAACAAGTTAATCAGGGAAAAGTTGACTAAACCAGAGATAAATTTACTTGGCAAACTGAAAAGGTTTACATTTTTAAACCTTGTACACTCTACTCAAGTTTATCAACTCAAGTGACGCCAAAGTTTGGCATTCATCATCAGGTTATTATTGTGACAAAAAACACTCGATGCAATTAAAAGCAAATGTACCGATTACAGTTGATTGGATTGATATAAATTGATTCAATAATGAACATTTCAATTAATCAAGTGTCTACAATTGACAGTTAAACATTGTAAAATGTTACTTTCAGCTTCAACGACTGACTTTACTCAAAGGTTCACTCAAAGGTTAACTCAAGAGTTGACTTACATCATTGGGTTACTTTGCATAACATTTTAACAGATTAAGGGTCGACCCGATAACAAACATTCAAATGTTGAAGGCAATCAAATCGTTTAATTGTATGAACCAAACTATTTTCAAATCGGTTAACCAACTGAGCACAGTTTACTCAAAAGACAATGATAAAGAGATTGATTAGACCTGATAAAAAAAGTCAAAATCAAAATGATGAGCTGAAAACCAAAAGGCAAAGCTATTGAAAGCAATGGAAAGTCAAGATTTTTTAAAATTGAAAAGAAAATGTTGAGATTAGATTACATATTGGCCTAATATCTCCAAGTCATGAGATAAAACACTCGGGTTTCACCATCGAGCTTATATCCCATAACTTCTCGATCTAATGTCTACATATTATTGGCTAAGCCAACAGTTGAAATATGCAAATAACGTCAACTTGGATTAACTGCAATTGATTTGATTCTAATAGACATTTTTAACATTTGAAATGAACTTATCACTATCGTCCAATTGAATGAAAATTGAATTGCTTTTTCCCTGTTTTTTAATCAAAAATATTATCAAGAAAATCCACAGATGGAAAATGCTCATTACTAATCATTTTGACAAGACAAACAACGACAACGACAAAGTGCGATGAGAAAAGCGCTTGGAACAAAAAGTGGCCAAGTAAGTTTAAAATCACAACTCAGTGGGAACAGATTGAGTGGGTTAGGCTCATGGGAAGCTGTTATAGAGAAAAGGAGAAACAAGAAAAAGACAGAGAAATGATGATGAAAAGAATCAAGAAGCTTTATCAACATTATCTTTCTCTTCTTTCGATTAACAAGAAGAAGATGAAGGGAGACAATTTCATTTGTATCCCCTGATGAGTTAACATCTTGTCCAGTTTTTAAGTGTAATCTTTTTTCTTCTTCTCGCAATCAAGAGTGGGTTTTTGATGATGAGTTAGTGTGAGAGATAAAAAAAGCAGAGTCGATGATCTTTAACTCTCTTTCTCTAGTTTCACATGAAAATTAGTATAAATGTCTGAAGCTGCAAGATGATATTGAAAAGTGGAAAGGGAAGTGAGCCTTATAATTTTGTCTGATAGTTTTTGTTTCCAACTAAAGTCCACAGTTGAATAATAATTTGCTCAAAGTTATCATCTTTTACCAGGCTCATTAAATCCCTTAGCTCATTAGAGAGTGAGTTGAGTGAAAAGAGTGAATCTCACGCAAATCATCGTCTCTCTCTCTCTCTCTCTCTCTCTCTCCTGTCCAACTCTCTCCCACCTACTGATGTCACCCTTTGCTGTGACAATCTCAACTCTCATCAAAAGTCCACTTTTTGTTAACAGTTGAATCTCTGGTCATTTTGGAAAAGGAAAATTAAATTAAATTTAATGTTTTTGTAATTAAAGTCAAGAATAAAAAGGTTTCAAAAGTTTCATTTCCATTGTTCATGAACATTAAGACATCCTGCTCTCCATCTTAATCCCAACCATTCTTCATCTCAGCACGTTAAGATTTTGAGCCCAAAAAAAACGAAAAGAAGCAAAAAAATTGAAAAAGTTTTTTGATTCTCGTCAACGAATCGAAACCAAAATGGCGCAATTGAAACGCTAAACGCCCAAGAGTGTTAATTGTTGCACTTAAATGGTATGAAAGTTATACAAAGAAATGGCAAAAAAAGCAAAAGTGTTTTCACTTGAAAGTCAATATTGAATAGACTTTACACTTTGAGAAAAGTCTTCATTTTCATTCCTTTTTTTCATCAATTTTACATCTTTTGTGCTCATCAGAGGAAAAATGTCTTAACATTTTGTTTGAACAAAAACTTTTGTTGAAAATTTGCTGAACCAACAAACGTCGACTAACTCCACCTTGTCTTTCATCCTTATCCTCATCCATTGAAGAGCACTTTCTTTGGATACGCTTTTGTGGGTCAAATGAAGATGTTGACGAGCGAAGATGAAAATTGGAGAAAATTTAGTTTACTTTCAATTGTATTGCATTTCAAGATAAATGATGCTACTAATGATGATCAACATGATAACGATAAAGTACAATTAAGAGTTTTCACAATTATCCAACTCAAGGTGTTCATCATTCATGTTCATCAGAAAATCTTATCCATGACTTGAGATGAAAAGAAATGTTTATTTTCTCTCTCGATTTTTCATTTCCGTTTCCAACAATTTTCATGTTGAAAGGTAAACTAAATCATCATCAATCAGCAAGTCATTTAAATGATATTTGATAATGAAAGGTGATAAAAGTGACTATCTGTTCACAGAATCATATTTATCATTCATTATCGTGAACAGAGGAAAACAATCAATTTTACATGATAATTTATACTCTCTTTGCAAATGGTCAACACTTTTATCACCTTTCATCTCTTATCAACACAACATTTTCATTTAAATCTCAAAGTTTACCTTTCATCTTTCAGTATAATTCATATTTTGTCGCCATTTTTCTCATGTTTTCTCCATTTCCTATTTTCTCACCCAAAAATGATATGACATGGCATTGTCATTATCACAATGTTTTTATCACTTTATCAACAACAAGAATATTGAAAGAGAGAGAAAAGGAAAACATTCTTGTTTATTCGTTGAAACACACACAGCATTTTCAGGGTTCAACATTTGGACAGAATCAAGATGAAAGAAGCTAATATTAACAAAGTAAATGGAAACGAAAAATTGTTCCAAATTGTTCTGATAAACAAGAATAATAATTGATGGTGGAAATCAAGTTATTGTAACAGTTAATGATGAAAATGCAAGAAAATGCAATCAAAAGTAAATTAGAAAAAATTGTTGGATAACAGAAGAAGGCAAAAGTTGGAGAAAAGGTGTTAAAGGGTTATTCCAGTGAGAAGTAAACAGTTAACTAGATTATGGTAAAATTGGCTATTCTTTGGTTCTAAATAAAGTTCAATTAACTCATTATTTCATGATAAAACAGAGAAAAAAAACCTTTTCTTTAGAAGCAAAAAAAGAGCAAACTTGAGATGCAACGGAAATCATCATCTTCATCATCATCATTATAATCATTTTTAATTCTTATTGAGTTATCATTTTCTTTATCATTATCATTTTATCTTGTTTCTCTCAGAAGATGAAAATGATTTTTTAACTATTAATCTACAATCATTTGGTCATCTTTTTCCCACGAATAAGGACAAAAACTTGAAATGCTCAAGAAGATGCAATGAAGAAAAAAAAAGAAAGAAAAGTGTTCCTCTTCATTTTGCTTCTTCTTATTTACTAATTAACTCATCCAACCGGTTTCATGATCATCCAAGAAGCAGTAAGATGAAGAAACTCAGAAGCTCTTATCTGGTCAACATTCATGTTACCCTTAAGCCTTCCTACCTGTCTACTCTGTTCTTGTTTTCATCTGCAATTTATTTCAATTCATTATCATCTTATCACAGTTATTACCATACAATTATCTTGAATCATAATCTCACAATGATTATATTTATAAATTCAACAGTTTTCTTATCTTAATCTGTGTCCTTCTTTTGGACAACAATTAAACTGATTAAGAATGGAAATGGATAAAGAGAGGGGAAAATGTTTTAATCCAAGTTTGTCCAATCATGATAATGAAAAGGCATCAAACTTACCTATTGAACGATTATGAGGTGAATCTGAATATTTATTCCGCACATTGGATTCATTTGGATTGAGTATGTCCATTGAGTTCACTTTGGATGTTAACGAAATAAAAATATTGGTTAATATAAATAAATTTATCACATACTCCATTGGAATTGAATTGGTGTATGAATGGATCAAACCCATCCATTCAATGATGCAAGAGATTAACCGACAATTGGCTTTGATTGAGACAAAATTCAAAGTGTGGAGGGCGCAGTAAAGGCGACAGGTAAACTTGGTCAAACATGCACACAATACACAATGTTTAATCAGTTATCAAATCCAGTGTTGATTCATCGGCTTGAGGTTAACATTCAAGTGATACCAGAAATGGGTGACGTTAACGTGTTGACCTGTTCATTAGGTAAACACTTTTGATTCACTTTGTAATCCAATAATTAGTGTTGACCGTTAATTAACACTGATTTACAATTGAATTTGTTGAACCATTTAAACAGTTTGTTGATTCACATAACATTACAATGAACAATGTTGCTTAAACCTTACACTTACTATAGCTTAAGACTAACTAAACTTGTTTCACTCTTAACATAACATTTCAACTCAACTTGCTATTGAGGCGTCAAGTAAAGTGAAGTTAACAGCCATCTATTGGCTTTTGTAGAAGTTTATATTTTTTCGTTTAGGTTGAGAGATTTACGTTAGTCAGTTGTTGCGAGTTTAATGGCTCTTTGTAATTATACTTCATTCATCATCGCGATTTAATTGAATTAATTTTTAATCTTCAAATTAGGTTCAATTCTTTGCTCGAGAGGATAAAAAGTAATGAGTTTTACAGTTTTTTGGATCAACCTTAATGCTAAATCTTGTGCTAAGTGGTTAACCTTTTCCCTTTGAGATTCAACCCTTAGTCTCGGTATTTAGTCACGAAGGATCGCAAATTATAATCTTAGTTCATTTGAGAAAGCAAGTGTTTAATTGAATGGAGATCGAAATTTCAATTACGATTCAACAATTTTGTAGGTCAACTCATGAATCTTTTAAACAGGGGCTATCACTGAATTCCGAGTAATCTTACTTGAAAATTATTATGATTAATATGATATTATAACTAAAAAGTTATTTTCTAATTAACGATAGGACTATGAAATCAATGAAAACTATTCATTATATCAACTATGAGGTGGAAGGTGCGAAACTGAATTAACTCGTGAAATCAAAAAAAATTATGGCTCCATTACTCTTTAAAAACGGTTGAAGTACATGATTTTCTCGAAAAAGAGTGCGTTACAAAAGTTTATCTTCGAGTTAAGATTATGACTTTACGGGTTTGTTGCGGCATTAAAACTAAGTTAATTCACCGAATTGAAAAATTTCATGATCAATAGTTTTCGCAAAAATCTAGTTTGCAGTTGTGAATTTAAACGCTTTTTGTACAGTTGGGAAGCCAGATTTTTTAAAAGCATTTACTTCGATCAACGGACAAGTTGTTAGCTTTGAGCGTTAGTCAAAGTTTTTGCAGTATGTCTTTCAAGTTTTGTCTGAAAAATAGTTTAATTCATAAACTTACATGCGTTTACAACCAAACTAATTAAATAAATGAGATAATAAAAAGTTTACATGGATAAAGTTTATTCGTATGAAGCACTGGCCAATTCAGAAGTATATTTTCCAAGAAGAATGAACAAAAATCCATTGCAGAGCAAGGAAACACTCAAGATAACTACAAGCTCAATATATGCGTTTCTTTTTTCTGCCCCAACACTGCTGATTGCGATGCCTCCAAACACGATTGCGATGGCAAGGATCACGATAATAATTATGAGAATTATTCGACCGATGTTAAGAACAACTCTCCACTCCTTAACGATGGCTGTTAACAAAAGCAAATCGATAACAATGCTCAAAATATTTAAACATATTCCTATGGTGTTGTATGTAACTATTTCTGATATAAATGTGATGACATTCACTGCAAACACGAAACTGTACATTCCTAACAACCAGAATTTTAAAGAACTTCTGCCTTGGTTCTCCATTGTATCTCCTGTACCTTTGATGTTTCGTTTGTAGATTTAAATTTGATGCCGAGTTTAGTATACTAGTTTAACTAGTGAATTAGCTATGAATATTGAGAATAACTTTTGAGGAATCACAAGAGAAGCAAAGTAATGAATGGTTTTTATCCTCGATTCAATACCATGATAGCAACGGAGTTTGATTAAGTCTTAATATGAATCAGCAGTGTACTTAATATTATCTAATCTAAATATATTTACGGTTTTAATGATCAGTTTATCCATTATAACACAAATGTTGCTCGAACTTAAATGCATAAATTAAATGTAAACAGGTTGGTATCGATTTGATACATGGAAACATGTTCATTATTTTCAAGTGTTAACTCTTGACTAATCAGCGTATAACGCATTTAGATTATTCATTTCTGAGATTTCATTTCAATGTGGAATGTAACTGCTAATTAAAAATAAATTTTAATAGCCAATCAGAAAATGCACTTATTTCGTGTAATAAAGTTTTTTTTGTTTCTACACATTAGCTCGCTTCGGTTTACGTAAAAGTTATCGACTTTCAGCGAGGATTGTAAAGAACCAGCTGGAACTCAGTTTTTACAGATAAAACTTCGTGGTGAATATGGGCAACAATAATCATCTAATAATTTGAAATTTGATAAAATCGAGATCAAAGTTGAAACTTTAACTGGCTTTTGTTCAATTATCGAAGCAGATTTTTCATCAAACTCAATTTAATGATGTAACTTTTGATGAAAAATCAGCTTGGCTTTGCTTGCAATGAAAAATGGCTTTGCGAATGTGTTGAGACATACAAACTGAGTCCATTTATAGTTTGTAAAAACATTAGTTTTCGCTGAAGCTAGTTCAAAGTTGAAACTGCAAACGCCTTTTGTACAGTTGTGAAGTCAGATTCTTTCATTAAACTAATTACCTTCGATTTAAAACCAAGTTACTCGCTTTTAGCGAGGATAATAGAAAATCAAAGTTTTAGCGTATTTGATAGGTTTTGTCTGAAAAATATTTTAATTCATAAACTTACATGCATTTACAACCAAATCAATTAAATAACATGAGATGGTCAATTGTTTACATAGATGTAGCTTATGCATATGAAGAACTGGACAATTCAGCAGTATATTTTCCAAAAAGCACAAACAAAAATCCATTGCAGAGCAACGAAACACTCAAGATAACTTCGATCGTAATCAATGCGTTTCTTTCTACTGCCGCAACATTGCCGATTGCGATACCATCAAACACGATTGCGATAGCAAGAATAACGATAACAATTGTGAGAACAATTCGACCAATATTAAGAACAACTCTCCACTCCTTAACGATGGCTGTTAATAAAACTCCATCGATAACAATGCTCAAAATATTCAAACATATTCCTGTGACGTTGTATGTAAAAATTGCTGATATAAACGTGACGATATTCAACGCAATTACGAAACTGTAGATTCCTAGCAGCCACAATTTTACAGAACTTCTTCTTTGGTTCTCCATCGTGTCCTCTGTGCCTTTAATGTTTCGTTTTTTTCGATTAAAATTTGATACCGAGTTTAATATCACTAGTGAGTTTGCTCCGGAGATAGAAAATAACTTTTTGAGGAAGCATTTCAAAAGCAGAGTAACTTATGAACGATTTTTATACTCGATGCAATACCATGATAGCAATGGAGTTGGAGTTTGATTAAGACTTATGAATCAGCAATATATTCAAAATTATCTTGTATAAACAAACTTATGATGTTAATGATCAGTTTATCCATTATAACACAAATTTTGATCAAACTTAAAGGCATAAATTAATCAGGTTGGCATCGATTATGAAAACATGCACATTATTTGAAGTGTCTACTCTTGCTTAATCAGCGTTTAGATTATTCATTTCTGAGAAATACGTTTCAATGTGGATTGTATTTTCGATCAAAAATAACTTTTAATGGTCAATCTTTTAATGCACTTATTTCGTGGAATAAAGTTTTCTATTTCTACACAATTGTTTTCGGAAAAGCTATCGGCTTTCAGCGAGAATCGACTAGAACTAGCCGAAACTTATTTTTACCTATTGTGAACTTATTGGTAAATATGAGGGGAAAAAACCATCTAACAATCCTTTCAATCTATTCAATTTTCGTGATGGCATTAAAACTTTGTGGCCTAATATTTCAATGATGATCACACTCACAGTCATTATTCTTACAATTATTATACTTATTTTAGAATATTGTAGTCCACAGTAAAATATTGTTGAAAGAATTGGTTATTATAAGCGTTACCATTCTTGGAGCATAAAACATTAACTCCTTGCTCTCAATTCGGAAGTGAAAGTTTTTGCAGTATTTCGTTTAAAGTTTTGTTGGAAAAAATAATTTAATTCATCAAATTATACATGAGAAAACGTATTATACAGTTGAAATGGATAAAGATTTCATTATAAAAACTGTATGAATTAAAGCTTAGGCAAGCGAAGCACTGACCAATTTGGCATTATATCTTCCAAGTAGTACGAACAAAAATCCATTGCAGAGTAACGTAACACACATGAAAACTTCGTCTCTAATCATTGCTTTTCTTTCTTTTTCTGTAAAATCATCATCCCAGAAATTGACAAGCTGGCCGATTATGAGGCCTTCAAGCACAATTATAATTGAGATGCACACCAGCACAATCATGAGAACAATGCGACCAATATTAAGAACAACTCTCCACTCTTTAATGATGGCTGTTAGCATGATTGCATCGTTAACAAGGCTAAAAACAGTAAAAAAGACTCCTGATCCGCTGGATGAAACTATAGCTACGATCAAGACGAGGACATTCATTGCCACGAGGGTACTGTAAGCTCCTATCAAACACAATTTTGTAGAGATGCTACCTTGCAACGATTCGTTATCCTCTTTGCCTCTCATGGTTTGTTTATAGATTTAAAACGGGGTTATAAAATATTAAGTTAAGAAAATCACAGGAAAAATAGCAACGAAAGTCTTATGCTGAGTCTAATATACAAGTATCACAAGTGAATTAACAATGAAAATTTAGAATAACTTTTTTTTCGGGAATCACTTGAAAAGCAGAATAACATATGAATAATTTTTACACCAGACGGATAACCATGAAAGCAATGGAGTTTGACTAACCAATATACTCAATATTATCTAATCTAAAAAAATTCTGGGTTTCATAATGAGTTCATCCATTGAATAAAACAAATATTACTCAGACTTGAATGCATAAATCAAAGCTATCAGGTTGGAGTCGATTATGATCATAAAGTTTTAATGATTGGAAGACATTTGCATTATTTTGAAGTGTTGATTCTTGACTAATTCATTTCCGAGAAATTCGTTTAAACATGGATTGCATTTGTTGATTAAAAATAACAACAATTTCAATAGTTACGCGCCAGCGTAAAAAAGCAAAAATACGCGTCTAATTTTTTTGTCCTTTGCAATATACAATGTAAACTCGAAAATTAGAAAAGAATCATATAAGCACACGGACACTTCCCTAGTAAGTGCGTCAATCTACATCATCATGTTTCCATTCGTCAAACAAA